TGCTTTAGTTCGATATATTTTGGCATGCATTCGTCATTATATGCTAACTTGTCTAATGTCCCATACATTTGAAATATTGTATTTCCATATATTGAAAGTACTCTAGAAATAATGTAATTAACATTAATGTATGACATAAACATACATATACGCGCAATAAAAAAATTTATAATAATTAAATAAGAAAATATATATACAGGGTCTCCCATTTTAATCGATCACCTCAAATATCTCTTGAACAGTGCATTTTAGGGAAAAATGTCTCAGACAAAAGTTTTGGAATTTCGAGAGAAACATAAGATGTTATCATTGGTTTGACCTCGAATGGCGTCGTTAAGGTCAGGACAAGGTCACTTTGAATTTTTTAAATGGAACCCTCCATTTTTCATTACATATTCTTATAGCATACCTCGAGAGCTTTCCAAAACACTATAATAAAATATTTTTTCATTAAGTATCTTTCGAGTTAAAAGGCTTCAAAGTTACAATATTGTTGCCATTAGCATTGATACCCAAGATGTTCGACCGACGACTAAAACCTTTTGAATGTTGTTCAGGACCATGACCTTGATATTTGTCAAGGTCAAGGCGATTGGAGGCTGTTCCTAATATTTCCATTTCTTCAAATTTTACAGTGAAAACGAAAATAATAATACGATCTTGCCTTAGATGGCTGGATTATCAATGGCTTTGTTTTAAATTAATGGATCACCGATCAACGACTTTACCTCTAGTTTACGAGCTATTATTTTGACACAAAGAACATTGTGATCTTCATATGACTTTTTGGGATTAATCGAGCCGCACATGTTACCCCATGATTTTAAATTATTATTTTCGTTTTTACTGTAAAATTTGAAGAAATGAAAATATTAGGAACAGCCTCTAATCGCCTTGACCTTGAAAAATGTTGTCAAGGTCATGGCCCTGAACAACATTTAAAAGGTTTTAGTCGTCGGTCGAACATCTTGGGTACCAATACTAATGGCAACAATATTGTAACTTTAAAGCCTTTTAACTCGAAAGAACTTAATGAAAAAATATTTTATTATAGTGTTTTAGAAAACTCTCGAGGCTATAAGAATATGTAATAAAAAATGGGGGGGTTCCATTTAAAAAATTCAAAGTGACTGTGACGACTATGTTATCCTGACTGTGACGACGCCACTCGAGGTCAAACCAATGATATTTTATGTCCCCCTCGAAATCCCAAAACTTTTATCTGAAACATTTTTCCCTAAAATGCATTGTTCAAGAGATATTTGAGGTGATCGATTAAAATGGGACACCCTGTATATAGTATGTAATAATATTTATAAAAAATAATAGTATATAGTAATATTTATAATAATTAAATAATACATATAGGTTTAAAGGGTTGTAATAATATATACAGGGTGTCCCAGACTCTTCTCTGCATTTTTTTGTGAAAACGAAAAACGGATTGAAATGAACAAAAAGTCATATATTGATTTGCAATATTTGCAATAATAGTCAAAAAATTAATTGTAAAAGATTAACCCGGGAGTGGGCGCGTATCAGTCATTTCCCCGTATTTTTTCGTTTTCTACTTATATCATCTAATCTATTGACATTATCGTATTTTCACTTTTACGTAAATTTTCATTGTTTTCTCGTATAGCATAGAAAAGTAGACATGCTTATTTCCATGTGAAATTTGATATGTTTTTAGCAGTCGATCTAAAAGACCATAGCGCGCCTACTAACGTTAGTCTTTTATCTCTGCCGCGTCAGCGTCGCTCGATGTGCCGCTGAACGTCTATTGTTTTTCCGATATCGTAGTTGGACGGACGATTCTCTCTTTTTTTGTTGAATCAATAAAATTTTCAATAGCACGCGTAATTGGAGTATATATTCTTGATTTAATTGCGATTAAAATTAATACTTGAATTATTGAAACAATACATAATGTGATAATTTTAATATTGCAATTAAATCAAGATTTATTCTCTATTTCTAAATTTATCAAATAAATTTTTAAGTTTATTAAATCAATGTTTAAGTTAATCAAAGTAAAACGAGAGAAGCAAGAAATTCTTATTTTATTTTATTAAACTAAAAGAATGTCACTTTTTACTAGTAAAAATATTATGATTTTATTTTTAACATATTCACATATATATAATAAGTTTAATATGTTTCCTAAACATATTAGATATAGAAATGGTAAAGAAAAAAAAGATGGAAAAAAGAAATAGTGACAAAATAAAATTATTTCCTTCAATTGTTATGTTTCTTTTAATAATTGGATTGATAATTTATTAATTATTACTCAATTATTACACATATATGTGCTTAAATATATTTCAGTCGAAATGATCGATAACTAACGCCCACTAACGTTGGTTCCGTTAACGCGCTCACTCCCGGGTTAAGAAAAAGCGCACGTTAAATGGTAAAGGAAGAAGCGCTCGAGCCGCAGCGCCGTCCAGTAATATAGCGCGCGGATGTCGACGCGCGGCGCACAATGGGACGACAGAGCCATCGGTATATAAAATAAAATTTGTAAAACGTACATGCTTGATCATGCTTAGTTCTTGTTCTTTATACTCTTTATAATCTTTTCTTTTAAATAAATCATTTGTTTTCGTACATGGATATATACCATATGTATACAATACAAAACGTCTCTTATAAGGGACATGACAGAACTGTGCCTCACCGATTTTGATGCGCTTTGGATATATTGTAAAGCATCAAAAAGTAAGAGACCAATATTTTTTTTATATCGGCTTATCTCGAGGTTTAGGGATTGAAACAGCCTCTTGAAAAAAATTAACTTTTTCACTTTTATAGAATAATTCCTAATATATGAGGTATATGAAAAAGTGTTTCCTACAAAAGTTTTACAATATTTAATACTCTTTGCAACAGCGTATTTCATTTTTTTCAAATGTTAAATTTTTACCCCCCCCCCCCCCCC